GATTCGATATCAGCCATAGACTTTTCGAGACAGATAAGGAAATACAGCTATAATCGTATCCAAATGCATTTTTAAACATTACTATGCTCTTTTATGTTTGGTCTCAGAAGTGTTTATTTATGCTCATGTACATCGTGAACAATGCCGGCATCGCGCCTTCTATTGACGTAATTGGGTGACACAAAGTTCGTTCAAAGCGCCGATATTGTTAATTCCGTCTGGTCGCCCATCAATGAAGATAGTATTTTTGATAGATTATACTATATTTCAGGTGAACAATTCCACAGCCATACACATATGTCATTTAACGACACAGAAATGCTCTGTTAATATAAATGGTGTATTGTACCACTAACGCTGTTTTGGATGATTTGTTTTGTAGTCTTTGGCGCTGTTGCGTTTTTTTATCTGATTTTGATAAATCATAATTTCGCAGACTCACTGGAGTTCAACTTTATATCCCGAGATCGCATTAAGCTAATATCCGTCGAAACTCCTAATGTTCATAGATATTCAACAAATTCTAATATTTCATACCCAACGAATCACGATTTACTGTTTGGTTTGATTCGATGTGACCACTTTTATCAAATAACATTATTTCCAATATAATATCTATTTCATTTTTGACGACTTACATGTAAAGTGGCCCATCCGTGGCATATTAATTTTTTTGTGATAGTTCACTCAGTTCTTCTGTTTAAAAAAACGCGAACGTAAATGGAAAATGTTTTATGTCGTTATATACACTACTGAAAGGTGAATATAGTGGTTAAGTTTCTCCCGACAGTTGCAAATATTTTACGTGTAAGACCCTTGTTTCGCTGATTACAGATTTCTGATCACCTGTCATTAGCAAAAAGAATTATTTACGTATGATAAATATTGTTTTCTTTCGGCAAATGTTTTGTAAATATTGTGGTATAAAAACCATTCCACTGATTACAGTTTAATTTTCATTATGTCTGTTATCCCGTTTCATTTCACTTCTTCGATTACAATAAGCCGAGTTTATTACATTATTGTCAAAATGTTTACTCCAAAACTGACTATAACAGTTATTCTAATCATCATCTGTACTGTGATAATAAAAATATTTTCTTATAAGGGTAGTAATTGCTACAATATGCTAGAAAAAAGGATAACTGAATCACACACACGCACAAAGTGTTAGGCAGAAAGGAGGTACTTTAATACAAAACTAGGCCTGAACATAGGCTTAAAAGTACCCTAGACTACAACAGGGCAGTAAGTAATTACTGAAACTTACTAAATTCACAAATCTGTTAAAAGTGTTACAATTCAAAAAAGGGGTGTGGGAAAATAAAATGACAAGGAAATGGGGAAGTGGTGGGAGGGTGAAAAATATAAGACAGTCGGGAAAACGAAATACACTGAGTACTGAAGCAGACTGAGAATCTGCTGCGACTAGGTGGCGCTATATACTGGTGGCTACGCTACAACAGAAAACAACTGAACAAGTGAATCTATACATGTGAAGCAATTAACAAAATTTATATTAAAAACAAATTTAACACAATTAAATAAAATACCCTGACAATATTTATGTCCCGACAAGAGCTCGTATTTACATTTTTAAGTGCCGAGATTCCTGTCACCTTCTATAATTTTACAAACCGTGATTTCAGACAAAAACTAAAAATTTGGAAACGATTGCGGAATTGTTACTGCCTGGTCCGAAGCCAAATAACTGAATCTGACCTCGAAAACAAATACGAATACGAAACCGAGGCTATGTCCATATCGTGCGTTGCGTACAAATAGTGGCGGTCTGATATTTGAAGTATGGACCCAATGAATACGAATACAGCAAAGTAGAGTGAGACGCACCTTGCGGCGATTTCAAGCGATATCTATAGTCCGTGATACGAGGATCAGATCAAAGAACGCAATTTCATTGAATACCCCAATAAAGGTTAGTATAAACTGCATAACTTTAGTGCGCTTTATTTAGAGGGACTGACCACAGACTGTGGTGGACTGACAGTGAATATGACTTGTCATGAACCAGGACTGAACGGCACTGGAAACAATTTACAGTTGGGAGTATCGTCATCACCTCACAACTTCTTGAGAGAGGTACAATCACAATGTACTTGTCATTAAGGTGCGGAATTGTGTTTTAGCTACTTTATAAATTATTAGCTGGCCTTCTAGCCAGCTACTAGGTTAGAAATGTATAGATCCTAACATTTTTAGTTTA